TCCAGGGTTTACTCGCGTCGCGTAGTCTCGCGTTGACTGCTTCCATTTACGTCGTCTCGTGTTTTCTTTCGCGTCTCGTCTGGCGCCAGTGTTGCGGTTGGCCTGCGTCTCGTCTGTGACAGAGCCGCTCGACAGCCTGCGGACAGCCTGCGTCTCATCTGCGACAGAGCCGCTCGATCGTCTGCTCGGCTCTGCCTCTGGCGTCTACGACAGTGCCGCTTGACACCTCTATTCATGCAGCTTCTCACTGTGCTTCTGGTTGGCACTGGCTGCGGTAATGGTCTCAGGAATTTCCTACGCCACCGCCCTCGCCGGTGATAACCCCGCCAAACCCTCATATGCTACAGTGGTTCACAAACGCAGCTCCCCTTTTCACCTCGCAGATAGTGCGGTATTCCCTCAGATTTACCACGATTCTGTTGAAGGAAATGACGATTGCAATCTCATCAAAAATCTAGAGAAAAAGACGGTGAAACCAGCAATTTTCTTCTCTGACGCTGAAATTTCAACCCGTGCAAGAAAATACAAATTTACACTAGTTGGAAAGTTTCAATTAGGTTGCCCTAAGATGGAGATCATCAGGAAGGTTTTTGAAGATTTCAAACTAGTTGGGGATTGGCAGGTGGGTCATTTCGACGGAAGGTATGTTATGATACAGCTGAGCACAGAAGATGATTACATAAGGATTTTCTCAAAAAAATTTATCACAATTGGGGGCAAATATATGAAATTGCTCAAATGGACCCCTAATTTTGATCTCAGTCAAGAACCCCCAATTGCACCTATTTGGTTCTCATTACCTGAACTCAAGCTTCATTTCTTTGACCGACCTATCTTATATGCAATTGAGACTATCCTTGAAAAAACTTTGTAAGTAGACTTACCTGCGGTTCATTTCTCAAAGTCCTCTACTGCAAGGATTTTGATTGAACGAGATATTACACTACCAGATGTAGAAGAAGTCTAGCTTGAATATGCTCACAATGGTTATTGACAAAAAATCATTATGATACTACTGCAAGCACTGCAAGATATTTCGACATCCGCAAGAGAAATGTTTCAAATTGCACCCACAGTTGAGAACCAATTGTCAAAAGTAAGAACACACTATTAGTGCACCTCATGTGCCTGAATGCGCTCCCTGTAAACCTGATGACAGCCAACCTGAGGAGGGAATCACCACAAGACAGGAGTTGGTGTCTGCCCCAGGCCTGGGATCCCTTCACCTGACTATACTACACTGGATAATGTTAGAACTGAAAATCAGGATAGTCCCGCAGCTCCTATTCAGGGTGTAGAGGTAACAATTCACTCTTCACATACACTGGAACCTATCGCGGTGACAATGATTGTCTTTCCTCCTACTGTGGTTCTAACATCAAATCAGATCGAGAATCACATGAGCCAGTCTTCAGATGAAAAATTACAGGTTTACACTTCTCGGCGGAAGAAGAAGGTTGGGGGCACACTCCAACTTGAAAATTTAATGGATGATACTTTGGTGAACGACTCTTCAAAGTTTGTTATCTGGTTCTGCTCCTAAAAATAGAGGAAGAGACATGACTAAACTACTCGTCCCTAGCTACTTGTTTTCTATATGTTTTAAATTTATTGTACATTTTATTGAGTTTATTTGTAACTTTTTGTTAGGATATTACTGTACTTGTATTGTATGGGTAGGGTGTCTCTTTTGGGCTATTCTCATACAACATTTATGTATCCTTTTCTATTTCAATAAAATCAGCTCTTGGGCTTTTCATAAAAAAATATAGTAGTACTGGAAACAATTATTAAAACCAGGACTCAAGCAAGTAGAAAATTTCAGCTTCGATGGATAAGTTGGTTAAGTGTGCGGGATGGTTGATACAAGAAGCATCTTGGAGAGAATTTACTGGAAAAACTAATTTAATTCACTGTGCCAAGAAGTTTGCAGTGCATACTTGTGTTTTATGGCACAAGATGCTAAAACAATAGAATCTGGTGTGCTGGAAGAACCTTCTGAAGGTTGGGTTCCATCCCACATCTGCGACACATCATTTTGCTGGCAAGTTTTTTTATCCTGCTAAATTCAGCAAATTTATACTTCTTTTATTGTTTCATTTAAGGTCTAATAAGATGGTGATGATATATACTGCAATTAGACTAGATGTTTTCATTCCGCTTGATTTTTAAATTATTTTTCATTATGCTGTTGATTTTCTCCTTAACAGGATGTTAGTGCTGCGTTTCTTCCCCAATGTCCGAAGGGACAGTGACCAGTTCAGCTGAATTCTATCATCAGGTCTTCCTTCCATGAAAAAGATTATTGAATCCAGATTACATCGTTCTTCTATGGTGACATTTCTTTGTACAAAAGTATAATCTTATTCTGTAATATGACTATCTTTTTAACTGTAAATAATGTGTATAGTAAGATGTTTTTTTTTTCCATAATCTGCCCAAAAACCGGTAATTCCAAGCTCAGGTCCAAGTAAAAAATGGTGGTCAAGTTCATCTTGGTGATGTATTTCGTAAGTTCATTCTGCTGTGCGTTGGCGTATTTAGGCAAATTTTATTGAAGCTAAATTTTGGCAATTGATATAAAAAGTCTTTTTGAAAGCTATGTAAATTTTTTTTTCAATCTAGATTTCTTTAATCCAAAATTTAATAGATCCGGACAGTGGGTAGATTTGATTTTAAATTGCAAGTCTCACAAACATTTTGCTTCTTCGCTGCTGGTCTTGTCGGTTGATGCCTTCTCTTGTTAAGTGTGATCTCTCTCTCTCTCTCTCTCTCTCTCTCTCTCTCTCTCTCTCTCTCTCTCTCTCTCTCTCTCTCTCTCTCTCTCTCTCTCTCTCTCTCTCTCTCTCTCTCTCTCTCTCTCTCTCTCTCTCTCTCTCTCTTAGGGTTTTGGAAATTTTGGAGAGAAAGGCATGGGTTAACAAAGACGGAAAATTTTTTAAAAATAATGAATAATTATTTTTATTAAAATCTAAATCAGTCTTTAGGAATTATATTAATTAGCGATTAGACCTTAATTTATAAATATTAATATCCTCTATGGTTTAATGTGAATAAACATAATTTATTACTTTTACTTGTTACTAACTAATGACAATTCATTATAAGAATCGTTTGTAAATGTATCATAATTAATAAGATTAGATTTAAGAAAAAATTTCTCTCTCCTCTCTCTCTCTCTCTCTCTGTATTTTGGTAAAGCAATTTAGTCTTATAATTAATATTAAATAAAAATTAATTAATTAAATAAAAAATTTCAACTAAATGGAAGATTATTCAATTATAGCAAGTTACTAATTAAGTATTGCTTGAGAAATATAGCTAAATTATACTTTAATTTGTTTAATGAAGGTTGATAAAAGAAAATATAATAGTATCTGTTAATTATATAAATCTATTAAAATAAAGATTTTTCAGTTTTAACTCGGTTTAAGTTTAGCTAACATGCCTATCATGACCAAATCGAGGATTAGAGGGAGTTATCTAGTCTTATTTACTCATACGCTTCTATCTTAGTTTTGACCAAAATAATTGCTATTGCTTGCAAAAATTTGAATAATTTTTTAACTTCAAATAATATTTTACATCCAAACATATGAGTGATTAAAGGACATGATGATCACTTTGAAAGATGTCGAAAAGAAAAAAATTATGAGGCTTTTATTATATGCACTGACGGTAGATACGCTTAAGTGAAAGAAAAAGGAGACAAGTTTGTTGAGCATGGCTCAACATAGACATGTCAAATAGGTTTGAGTAGAATAGAACTTGTTAGTCTGGTGGGGCATCTAATTTGTCTTATATAACTAACTCAAAGCTTTCACTAGACTCATCCAATCGACCGCACTAGTTTGATTATCCACTTTGAATTTGATCGGTCATCCTGACCTGATTGACCTTTTTCTCAGACTAGTCAGACAACCCATCCCGATCTCCCGATTTTTTGGGTTTGATCAACTGTACTAATTTGATCACCCGCTTTGAGTCCAATCGACCACTCCAAGTCCATCACCCACTCTTTTTGGTTCGATCGATTGACCTAGATCGATCGACCCATCCTTTAGGTTCGATTGGCAGTCACGACCCGGTCAATGAATCACTTGCATGCTTGTATGTTTTACATCATATCATGTTGCATGTTTATTTGCATGATATGAAAATATTATTTTGACTAGATGTCTACGATATTCCATTATATGTAAAATATGTTTGCTTCATATGCTTTGCCTATGACATGTTCAGATGTCTCTTGGAGCATCCATGTGTGGGTGTCTCTTTGAGTAGCCCCACTTGTGTCTTGTTGAGCACCCACACTTGCAAGCTTCTTCCTTGCATACGTCACTGTATGCACGGGGATAAGCTCCTGCACACTTTGCTAGGAGGCGACTTATATAAGCTATCCACCTCATTCCTTACGACACTAGCTAGAGTGTTGTAGGTATTTCATATTGTGTAAAGTATAAGTCATGCTTCTTAGCCCCAGAACACGTACAAGACAATGTGTTTTCACTTAGGTATGGTAGTAAATTAGGGCAATCTCTTGAAGAGAGCCATGCCTAAACATGCATGTTGTCTAGTGAGAGGAGCAATGGTAGTGTATGCATGGTAGTATATTAGGGCAGTCTCTTAGAGGGAATCATGCCTAAACATCCACACAGAAACAAGTTTAATAAAGGGAGGAGCAATGTAATGCTTATGTATTAAACCCTTTCTGCAGGTGTCGCTTAGCTCCTCCAGCCAGGCATGACTCTGACAAGTTACATGTAGATAGATTTTTGCGCTAACATGATTTCGTGCAAGTCAAGTCCTTTTTACTTTTTCCATATGTACTTGTTAGATTTCTAGAAGAGTCTTGTAGTAGAAATAAGATAAGGGCACGATTTCGAGGTGTTTGATGCGGGAACCATATTATGAAGGGACCAGAACCAACAAAAATTGTGTCATGTATCTTAATTATTACATTTTATATTGATGTATAGCATTAGGACTGAGAATTTATATGTAGAGTCCTCCCATTCTTTTTTTTTTTTTTTGATATTTTACCGACCCCGCGCACCAACCTTTAATTATTTTATATTGTTCTTAATTTTATGCTTTCTTGGATGATTATATGCTTGGATTGACTTCGCCCTTTTTTTATGATGCTTTTGTTTGGGATGTGATTCACAAAAAATGCAATATAGGCTCATTATGATTTAAAATGCTAAATTTACTACAAAAATCTTAATAAAATATTCAAGAAAAATGAAAATCTTAGGAATAAAATATTCAAGACTTCAAAATTTTCTTTTTTTTACTTTCTTGCATGGCCTTCAGGTAGGACTTTTAAATAGATTGCATGCATGGATATCACCCCATCATATTTAATATGGCCTTCACTTAGGATTGTGGTAGATAATTGCATTCATATTGCATGTTCCGAGGAGAAGACCAAGTGCTTCTCCAACCTGATTGAACAAGCATAAATTTCTACTTAGGTGATTTTCTAGTGCGTTTAAAATGTTAGAAGGCTCCAAACCTCGACATGTGTAAGCTCTTCTGTTCGGAGCGTTTCCAACTTTATAGCTAAAATCTCTCTTTCTCTTTCTTTCCCTCGGTATCCTTGTCATTTCGGCAGGTATAAGTCTCACATCTTGGAGCTTCACCTGATAAAAATAGGATAGAGTTTTGTTCCTTTAACTTTAGAACTACTGAGGTCCCCGTAAATGACGCAATTCACAAATTATTGATCAGGGATTTCTAGACGTGTTGGGTCAACTACCTTCACGACGAGGTAGACTTAGTGGCTTGAGATGACGGGTCAGTCGTACCCTGATCAAACTACCTCTACATTTTAGGATTACCCTTCCTTGGTTGAGCCCTTTGAGTCCTGTCATCCTTTACGACTTCGTTGATGTATTCTTAACGGCCCCTACTGTCGTCCCATGTGTTTCAGTAAAGGCTCCTGAGGCGATGAGATGCTCCTACTTGAAATAATCATCCTTTGATTACCTATTCTCCAAGTTCATGATAACATATGCAAAACTCCTTTTATCAAGAATATTCTTGGGTATCCCCCAAGATGTAATTAACCAGAGAGATACATTCCTCTAGGAGACTCTTAACCCCCGAAAAAAAATGTTCTTTTTGGTTCTTTGATTATGGGTAGTTTATGCAAGGATTCTTTTCGTGGATGTTGTGCTTTGAGGTACTTCAATCTGATCCTATTATGATGTATATTTTCGACCCATCACACGAGGATTACCCATATATAAGCCTTTTTTGTTTATCTATCTTTTGTCATATTTCCTTTCTATTTGATTACTCTTTTCTTTGAATCATTTATAATGATCCAAGTGGGAAATTTAGTCGAATAAGAGAATTATAAGATGACATATAAATAGACAAGTTGACGACTGCAAGGCTTTAAAAAGAACCAAGAAAAATAAATCTGACGACTTCGCTGGGGAAAAGTCTCTCTCTTCATATTGGGAGTTTCATTTTTATTCTGGGGATATAAGCTCACTCTCCATATTTGGAGTTTCACTAATATTGTTGTGACCCGGTTTTTTTCCCTCAAGTCACTTACTGAGTTTTTTGTGAGACATTGATTTTCAGTCCATGCGCCAATTGCTATTGTTAGCGATTTGATGTTTTTTGTCTCGTTTTCTCACCCATAACATTTCATTCGCTGCATAGTCACATGCATCTGTGATGTTGTATTGTCTTTTTGTGATTGGTTTTTCTTGGCTTTTCTTTTTTCTTGATTGTTGTCTCCTTTTGTTTGAAAGACATAGCGAGCGAGAGAGTTGTTACACTCGCTACTATTGAGAGGAACTTTATTTCCTTCTCCCTCAATGTCTTCCGTGCTCTCGAAGATACTATATCCTTCGGTTCCTTTGAGTAACCCGTTAGGATTACCTTGACGATGCACCACAGTGCCATCAATATTCTCTAGGCTGTTAGGCCGTCTGTACGCCTTTTCACGGATCTCTACAGGTTAATTTTCTGGCAGCACTGATGTTGTTTTTGTTTCCCATGCTACAGTTTTAGACCCTTTTGTCCCTATTCCCTTTGAGGTTGATCCTACTCCTAGGTTGGGAAGGAAGGCCTAGAGGACTATAAACATATTGCTCAAGGTGGTTCAGAATTAGGTTTCTACCCCTGTTGTTTCAATTCATGTTCAAGCGGAGTCCCAAAGTCCCTTGGCTAAGAATCCTTTTTTTATACTTTCTGGTTGTGAGGACTACATCCTCACCAGGATTGCTTGGAGGGCTCCCCCTCCACATGCTGGTATAGGCCGCCTCAGGCCTGCTGTTCAGATTAATGAGGCCACCACAAGCCTTCTTTCTAAGAAAATTATGGAGGTCAACTTCTCTCGAGGGGAAAATGGCCTAATTTTGAGGAGGTACCCGCTCAGATCTTTAATACATCTAAGCGAGTCATGAGAGAGCTTCTCTACTTTCCCCATCCTGAAGGCTATTGTAGCAAGATTGGGCTTCGCTTGTCGATCCACTGCTCGACCGTTGTATTTAACCTACATTATGGAGGTTTTCATGCATGTTGGGGCATTGTTAGGAACCCCCAATGTAGTGTTTAATGCCGATGCACAAGAGTTTGTTCCTGTTGTTGTTAGGTCCACACAACCCACACCCGATGTGGCTTTATAATAGTAATAAAAAGAAAATTATTATTGCTTAGTTAACTCTAAGATCTCAAACTGAGTCGCCACAGATGAGGTTGGATCCCATTATAAAATCAATTAAAGATAATTTTCACACGAGTTCTTAAATTCCTTGAAAATTGGCATTTTTTTGTTTATATATATTTATATTTCTAAAGGTGAAACCGATATTTGGTCTTGTGGGCACCAAATACCAATTCCCTCATATGGGTTGAAAACTCGGTGTGCTTGATTCTGATTTAAAAAGAGGGATTCGAACACTTGACCCGAGGGACTTATGCCAGAGGCCGCACCAATGAGCCAGGACTTTCGGACGACATTTTTTCTTTATATATATATATATATACTATTTTGTAATCAATCATTGGAGGCATTTACATACATATTGCTCAAATCTTTTACATCACATAAAAAATATTACTATTCATCAAAATGAAATACTCATTTTTCATGTATAAATTTATGACACGAAAGTATTTAAAAAAATAAATATAAAAGTTTTGGTGTTCGATATGCAAAACCATGAGCATTGTGTGGCATACATATAAATTTTCCTTCATCAATCGCAAATAGCAAACAAGCAACAAGAAAAAAAAATAGCTGCATTCCTACAATGAAATACACGACATCAATAATGATAGCAATAAAAATATGATACATGGCTTTTGACCTCAAAACTATAAAATACTACATACCCCTTCATTTTCTCATTTAATTCCTTCAAACGAAACAGTGACCTCAAAATGATAAAAAAAATTGAATCAGGTTTCAATCATTCGGCCATCGTGGGCGGATAAACAGTAATAATCCTCAGCACGCGATTCTTCCAGTTTGCTGAACAATTCCTTCATGAATGGTGTTGATGTGCCATGAGTGATACGAAGGATCTCCACAGCCTTAGTGAATGATTTCAGAGCATCCTCTGTTTGTTCAAGTAGCCTACAAGAACAGCAGAGAAGACCCACCCAGTTGATTAAAACTAAAAGTATCTTTCAATGCCAAGGCCAGAAAAGAAAGAGGAGAATATAACTTTGGCATTCCCATCATGTTTGTTTTGAGAGTAAGAATGAATGAAAAAGATGAACAGGAGTACAGCGGATTTCATTTTAACTCTCAATAAAAAGAGGTAGCCTTTATTGAGGCTCCAAAAGTCAAAACACATTCAGCGATTCCATTCTAAAGCCCATAGAGGTATTTGGAATGCGGGGAGTTGATTGTGAAATGAGAAGGGCAAGATAATAAGAGAGTTCGACTGTGTTTGGATGGGGATAAGCGTTATTCGGCGGCTATCCCAGCTGAAAACAACAATCCAAAGACAAATCGACGAGGTACGGGCAGCGAGGAGGGTCCAACATCTGTTTGATACACCACTTACGAAAGGAAGAGGATACAATACTAGAAAGAAAATTCAAAGAAATGTCACTCATTCATAAGCTCAACAAACTCAAAAATCCAAAACCTAAATACAACATATATAAAAAGTTCCACAATAGAAAATAACCTAATTGAAAATAATAAATAAGAAATAAATATATAGGAAATAAAAAAAAATGAGAATAAACTAAAGGGAAGAAAATCGGGTTCGAATAGGAAACCAGGCGCCATGTTTGATTTCCCACAATCGCTAAGGACATAGCAAGCGGAACCCGGAATCACGGAAATCTTGCGACGGGATACCAGGTGCCCATAATGGTTTTGTGATACTCTCCCGCATCATTCTCCTCGGCTAGGAGATGCCTATCCCACTTCTCTTTAAGCTTCTGCAATCAATCTAACACCCTAAGAATGAAGTCATTGCATCATTGTGGCTGAGGCAACTCCTCTAGGAAATTTATGCTCACATCCATATCCTAATAGACTAAATAGTGATCCATTGGCACAACCAGAACTAAAACTGCATATAGATGGGTACTTTCCCGAGTCAAGCCTCGATGCATCAAAATATGTGGCTTCTTATACTCGGCTGATTGCATCTCATAATCATGTTGGTTTGGCTAAATAAACATTGGAATGAGGTCTATGACAAGTTGAATCTCTTTTAGTGCTAGCCACCTAGGAGGCAAGTTGTCACTTAACTTATCCAACAAGTCTTGCAACAGAGGTTCCTCTTTTTCTGATATCGACTTCTTTGACTCACTACTTTCTCAAATAACTAATATTGCTATAGTGCAGTTTCTCTCACAGACTTAGCTTGAATCATTAACATCTCTTTTTCATCCGCCGCTGAACTTTTCATCCTCTTCTGTGACACAGTCCATTTCTTTAATTGCTCTCTATCAGTGAAAGAATCGCCTTCCTGTTTTGGCAATCAGGTGCCACATGGTCAAAACCATGACACTTGAAGTATTTGCTGACTGGGATGGGTTTGGGAGTACTGGCAGGTTGCACCTTTTCTTCCGTCATTACCCGACCTGATAGCTTAGAATTAAATAAGGAAATGTGATCGGATGGTATTAACCTTTAATTTAGTCTTCAAATATTTCCAGAACTACCAAAACATAATCTATAGAAATCCCAAACGAGCATATAACAGTATATCACCTTGAAAGAAATAATGTAAAAAGAAACTACACTCAGATGATGCCTATCCGCAGTAGTTATTATCCTGTAAACTAAATCCCTCATGTAAGACATATCCATCTAATATTTTTCTTAAGTTCAATAATAAGTTTTCATGAATTGGTAAACAATTATAATCATAATAAGCATTAAATTTATATGCAAATGCTATGCATGAATGACTAAAAGAAATATAGTTCATTACTTTATAAAACTGTAAGCTTTCATTTTAAATTTATCCCTTATTTCAATTTAGGTGTTTACCTTTTTTTAATTTCTTTAAAAGTCATAACATGATTACCACCATACCTAAATGTATCCTCAAAATTATATACGTAGGAACCCTAAAAAATTTGCACTCTAAGGTACAACATTACCAATTTCTTTATCGTGCACAGATACATCGCATCCCCAACCAGTATCATTTAGAGATAATCATGTATGACTTAAGCTTTTATATTTCACTTTTTTTAATTACTTCCATTTAAGGTCATTAAAATTATCATTCCCATTTTTCATTTTTCACTTGATTCAGTTTAGAAATTCTTTATTATAAAAATATTCTATGAAGCAATAATGTGATTCTTAATTAAATAACATCTTAATTTAATACATACAAGAATATAATTGCTCACCTATGTTTTATATGACCTTTCCCTTTACTTCACTTTTTCTAGCACAAACAAAATTCAATCTCTATCATCCTTTAATTCAACTTTTTGACAAATTGAAATGCTAAATTTAATTCATAAAAATGTTGATCTGAAAATTTAGGATTGAGGCTAGGAATTATGCTATGAATAATTTGGGTATGGAAGATTTTTTTTTGGATTGGGACAAATTAAAACAAAATACTAAAAAATACTAGTGCTTATCGAGCTCTGATACCGGATGATACCGTTCTAGGACTCTAGAAAGTATTTCGGAAGCAGATTTTGAGAAGAGGTTGTTATGGAACGACAAGAGGAAGATAATAGGTGAGTCCGACGGCATTTGGATGGGGATAAGCATCGTATGGCGGTTGTCGCGGTTCAAAACATCAATCCCAACAATGCATGGGTGGGGAGGAGGTTTCGCCACTTATTCCTAAGCAAGATACATGTACACCACTTACAAAAGAAAGATGAGACAACACTTTAGAAAACAAAATTTAGAGAAATGTCTCTCAAATTCAACAACTCAAACTGAAAAGCCAAAACCCTAATATAACATATATAAAAGTCTCACAATAGAAAATAACCTAAGTGGAAATAAGAAAATAGGAAATAAAGAAATTGGAAATAAACCAAAAAAGAAGAAAAATGGGTTGGAATAGGAAATCGAATGGCCTTGTCCGATCACTCACGACTGTGAGGGACATAGCAGTTAGAACCTGGAATCGCGAAAATCTTGTGACGGGATCGTGGCAATCCCACAACGGGATCTCGACAATCCTTTGATACACTTCCTCACTCAAGCCATATGAAAACAAGAAAAAATTGATCTCTTTGATTAAGTTGATCGCTCCACTAAGGTTTGATTTATGGTCCGAAGAAGGAAGAACCTTCATTTCATTTCAATTTTGTTAGAAGAAAGAAAATTTTAGGCTAGTTATTTTCTACTAAATGATGGTATTTTGATGTGATACGAAAGATTTGGGTGGTATAACATGTTAGATACGTAAATACATGAGAATTGGGCGGTATCATGTTAAATATGTAAATACATGAGAATTGGGCGGTATGTATGCAAATGCCCCATGGACATGGAAGATTTACATACATACATACCACTTAATTCTTATGGATTTACATATATGGCACCTAAACTTCAATTTTTACATACATGCTACATTCTTGTGTATGAAAGGGTGAATTTCACTTTTTAAGAGATAAAATGACTCTATTTTTGATGAGAAATGAAAGATTTGGGAAGTATAAATGTAAAAATTAAAGTTTAGATGTTAGATATGTAAATACTGAGAATTGGGTGGTATGTATGTAAATGCCATGGCATAAACAGGAAATCAAAATCAGCTCAATTACCTAGTCAATTTCCTATTGTATCTTATTTCGAGAATATAACAAGTCATGTATCAAAAGCGACAAAAAAAAGAAAAAAACTATTAAAATATGAGAACATCACCCATAATAGTTTCATAAAACAAGCATGAAAATAACTATTGATATTTGAAGAACATTCATTTCATTCACATGAAGGGGAGTGCTTGAGGAAGAAAAAATCTCACCATTCAAGCTTTCCGCAAGTGTAATATTGTAGACCTAGCAACGGATGAGGAGATTGATATAATCCTGTATTTAAGAAGAATAATTAGTCAATAACTGATGCTGCCTTACCAAAAAAATGCAGAAAATATACCTACAAAAAATTTTAATCACTGGTAAATTTGTACCATTAACTGTTGGACGGCCACAAGAGGTCTTTCCATAAAGTTATTTCAATCTTAATCTTTTGCAACATGAAGATTCTCAAGTGGAACAAACATTTTTTGATCCATTAATACATCCTGTATATGATTAAAAGGTGACTTCATGCTTCTGGCAATCAAAAAATAATTTTCATTGGCTCTTTGCTTCTAATACTTCCAACGGATGTTACAGTACGCCCAATTTTCTTCTTATGCCCGTCAATATGCACAATTTGAATAGAGAATTATGTACATTCCGTGGAAAGCAGTAATCTTCTAAAATTAAACTTTTCCGAAGAGGATAACATATTATTCCGTGGTAATTTCAAAGATGGCTTATTCTTCCGTAGGTTTTGATGATTACAAATAAGAAGACCAAAAGAACTAGGCTAAAAAATGAAAGCGAAGCCGAGGAGCATTAAACAAATCTACCAAAAGAATGCAGTGCAATTTGACTAAATTAACTCAAATAATACCACCGCTTTTTATTAGATAAACGTTGGATTCTAGATTATCTGATCAACTCAGGCCACCTGGAGAAGTGAAGAGAATGACGGATAGAGAACAGACATAAAAGAAGAGCTGCAGAGGAAGAAGATCTAGGAGAGCAACGCTAGAGGATTTGATTGCCTTGAATTTCATATCCTGAATTTTAACATTGATCTCCTATTCATAGGTTTTTTGGATTGATAATTATTATAATACATGACTGCATTTATGCTTTATTAAAAATAAAAAAACTAGAATTATATAGCATGGTCTGTAGCTAATAAGGCGCCTAGCAAAGGAGATCGTCCGCCAAATTGAAGAGCGTAGGTTGGCACAAGCCACATTGATGGGGTGCTATAAATCAGTTGTCGAGTTGTCGAGTAGCTATTCATCACTTGCAAATTTGACTAGTACTTGTTAGTCACATAGGAAGATGAGTGGCTGTTCCCCTCTCAAGATTGTGAATGATTGTTTGTGCTTGACTGGACAGAGTCATCAATACAACAAGTCAGCTGAGTTTACCATGTCAAGTCATTACTTAGGTTAGACCAAATTGACCCATGAACTATACCAATTGACTTCGTACTTCGAAGTATTTAGCGTCAGGAGTCGGCCTAGGGCTTGAAATTAACCAAGACGAGTACAAACGGTCGGACGGTGGAAACTAAGTTTTTTATATTCATTACCTCATTACATGTAGTCTGCATCTTCTATAAACACTCTCTTCTATGGTTCAACTTTTAACTCTTAATTAAACCTGAAATTTTAATTTAAAATAATAATAGATTAAATAAATCTAGTGAATATTAATACATCTAGACTACAATAATACAAGAAAAAAAATCAAATGCCTGACAGCTAAGCTTCTAGCAAATCAAAATAAAACATATAATCACTTAGCGTTATTAATGTGTTTTACTATATCAATAGCATATCTATATTATTCTATATGTGTATAACCTTCATAAGAACACCGTCTAAAAATTATACTAATTAAGTAACTCAATATCGATATCTTTTTTTGTTTACGTGCACAAGTACCTTAGTGTTTCCTCGTTAATCCTATAAATAAGTGATTTCATCATAATCAATCATACACATACAAACAGTCAATATAAACATATCATCCATGTGCTCATCGCATTCAACTCAATATACTATATATAGCATATATCAATAAATGATAGTAAACAACTACAAACATTCAAAAAAATGTGACCAATAAAAGAAAGATCATATAAATCAAAATAAAGCTTTTACAAGTATCATTAACTACTAATACAAAACAGTTGATAAGAACTAAAATATTATCATAGATTAAGAGTATGACTACTCACTTCGATGTTGATTAATTTTTTATTTAATTTACCTCAACGTCGACTCCACTAAATTAGAAACCTAACATAAGCAAAGTATTTATATTATAAAATTTAAAAAATATATATTATTTTAATTAACTATTAACTTTACATTACTTATATATAAAATTTTCATATTTTATTTTATATAATCCTGCTTGTTTTTCTATTAATTATATGTGCGTGTATTATTAATTTTATTAATAAATCAATTAAATAAATATTATAAAAGTTACCTTTCCTCAGTCGAGCCCTATGCGCGGAAAAATTACATAAAACTACAGCTTGGTTCGATTCTATATCCACACACAACGCCTTAGCTCGATTCTTCCTCCGTCGTACAGGATGCTTATGCCTCTCTTCTCGCGATCGCCTACACTGAATGCCTACGGTTTGGTCGGCTTCTTTCTTCCTCTATGCTCAGCTAGTCTTCTTCCGCACCCTATAAAGAAAGGCTTACTTTGATAGACTGGAATTGTCAGCTGGCAATATGTCAAGGCCTCTCTCCAATCGTTTAACTCCAAAAGTATCTATATGGGTAGCAAGAAGCACTTGTCAGTGCTAATACCAAAATTAGAAAGAAAAGGTTTCATTTAATAAAAGACTACACGAGCTGGAGAAAGAAAGAACTAGAAACCGTATGGAAAAACATACAATGGCATTGGATGATCATCTGCACTTCAAGTAACACTTAACATGATAATTTGTAACAAGCAGCAGAAAATTATCAAGTAAATATACAGAGCCCATAATCAAACATGACATCGTTATCCATTTACAGCTAAGGATATGATTTGTCGGCATTTGACATCGAACAGAAATACAAAGAAAGAAGAAAAAGTCAGTAATTAACTACACCTTCAGAAGAGTTTCACGAGTTCCCAACAACTTGATTGAATAAGGATGGAACAGCTTACTCTCGAGCTGCTCAACTTTTTTGTACAGCAAACTAGCTTCAGAAGGATCTGATTTGATGTTAATTTTCACTCAAAGCATAACAAACTTTATTATAAATATTTATTTTCATGAGGGCTTATAGTTGGGGCATAGGCTAAGTAAGAGATGTCAGGCATAAGCATTCAGCAGATTAAATATGAGCTGGCATTAGCACAAAAAATTGGTTACATTTTAATTTAAGCTCATTTTCTTATATCAAATTCTAATATTGAGTACATATGAATTGATTTAATGCTGACAAGTTAATGATGATTAAATTTACTTTAAGAAGGAAAGTAAGGCTTAAATCTCTAAGCTTAAGGGTGGTGTTTATAAGCATTAATCCTGACCAAACTGTTCCACAAAACTTTTCATGCATGTACATTAAAAAGAATGTTGACATGAATCATAAAGATAATTTGCGGATAGCCACAGGTGATATGGCTCACAAGTACCTTTGATGGACGACTCCAGATCGCACAACCGATCGACAACATCCACCCCATTCGGATGGACGATCTATTTTCGGGAGAGTCGAGAGGGGTATCCCCCGGATAAATTCACCAAGATTATGGTCACTGATCCGACTTGACGGTCACCCGTCCTATACTCCGTATAGTCCAACATCTGCTCAACCTCACAATTGTCCTGCCAAACCGTAACCCTGCTACGTAACTTCTCGATCACACTGGGTATCCCGGCCTAGAGCCAGGTATCCATGTCAATGGATCCCACACATTGCATATGCAAGATCACTAAAAGGCCCCAACTTGTCCTAGAGAGGCACAGGATTTAATTGTACGATAGTTTATCCCTATAAATAGGGGGTGTTTCATAAGTAAACGGGGGATCAATTACACTCTTCATAAAAGAAGGGTGTGGGGTGTATTTTTCCTCTATTCCTTCTCTCTTTTCTTGTTTAACGCTCTATTCCTTAGGCATGTCTCCCAGCTTGAGATTGAACATCCTAAAAGGTGCGGTGAGTGTGGATTCATGCAAACAACAACAAGAGGAATACGGTGATAATAGAAAGAGGAAGGCAACCAAGGAAGAATACGGTGATAATAGAAAGAGGAAGGCAACCAAGGGAAGGTGATGAACAAGGAACCAGTACAAGACAACATCGACACGCAACCGACATTATCTTAGCCATCCTTAGAGGAAAACGCCCATCGAAGGAATTTTCAGAAGATAACCAGGGCAAGGGGAACTGTGCAGCCTAGCGACAGCGCAAAGGAGCGTAAATGCCCTGCCAATCACGCTTACCAACGACCATCTCCCACGATTGAGAAACCACCACAACAAAGCTATAGTTGTTACGGGAATAATTAATGACTTCGTAGTCGAGAGTATCCTCATTGACATCGGAAGCTCCGTGAATGTCTTATTCAAGTCGGTGTTCAATAAGCTCAATCTTCAGAACGACACGTTGACGGCGCCGGGAAATCCACTTTTTGGATTTTCAGGCGAATGAAATGAACCACTTGGCGTAATGTTAATGGCAATTAATTGCGGCGAACGAGAGAAGCAATTCACAGATACAAAGGATTTCTTGGTAGTTGACTCACCACCGACATACAACGCCATCTTCGGCCGACTACACTTGAATTGATTTAGGGTCATTGTATCCACTTACTACGTGGCAGTCAAATTCTTCGGGGATGGCAAAGTAATCACAATCAAAGGGGATCTGGATCAATTGTTAGTATGCTACGTCCGAGCAGTTGGGAGCGTTGAATAGGAGCCGCTGGACCTACAGACTCGGAGAGAGGGTGATCTCGAGACCAATAAAACCACCCACGAAATCCCTGTCAGCGAGGGCGACCCCCTTAAATCTTTTCTAATAAGTGACAACTTTGACGCAGGATCCCGAGGACTTCTATTCCAAACACTCAAGGATTATCGTGACGTTTTCGCCTGCTCTGTCGCGGAGATACCAGGGATACCAGCCGATGTAGCTTGCCACAGGCTAAACATAAGCCCTACGACCTGACCAGTCAAGCAAAAAGCCAAAAATTCGGTAACCGCGTTGGCGACACTCATCAAGGAAGAGATCCTAAAGCTTCAATAAGCAGAATTCATCCAGGAAATACAATATCCCACTTGGCTCTCGAATGTCGTCATGGTCTATAAAAATGGCAGATGTGCGTCGACATTACCAATCTGAATAGCACCTGCCCTAAAAATTGTTATCTGCTGCCCAGAATTGAAGCCCTAGTTTATGTTGCCGTAGAATACTCAATCATGAGTTTCTTAGACGCCTTCTCAGGATACCACTAGATCAAGATGCACCAATTGATGCTGAAAAACAACTTTTCTTACCGCGAGGGTTTATTTTGCTACAATGTAATGCACTTCGGAGTTAAAAACGTTGGGGCAACGTTGAGCGCTCATGGATATAATTCATTCTAATCAAAGGGGTAGGGTAAAAACATTAAGTGTATGTGAACGTCATACTTGTTAAGAGCCAGTTGGCCAAACAACATATAACTAACTTAAAAGAAACTTTAAAAACCCTTAGAAAATTTAACATAAGTTTAAAGCCATTAAATTGTACCTTTGGAGCCTCCACAGACAAATTCTCGACTAACTCTTGACCCTAGAGGGAATCAAAGTCAACCCAGAAGAAGTGCATGCACTGCCAAATAGGTCTTCTCCTTGAAACACTGAGGAAATCAAGAAATTAACCTACTGAATAGTTAGTTTTAGTAGATTATTTCAAGGTCGGGCAACAAATGCTCAGCGTTTTTCAAAACATCAGGAATTCAAAGAACTTCTAATGGAAAACTGACTATGAGCAGATGTTTGCAAAGTTGAAGGATTCCTTGGCATTGCCACTGCTATTTAAAAGTCCAAAGCCGAATGAAGAACTCTCTCTGTACCTAAAAGTTGAACTTGAGGCCATCAACTCTGTGTTGTTTCGAGAAAATTTGAGGAAATCATTCTCAGTTTACTACACCGGTAGAGCCCTCATGAGCGCCTAACTCAGATATCCAATTATCTAGAAACAAACGTTTCCCTTTTTAATTTTCGCTTGCAAGCTCGGCCATAGTTCCAAATGCCCCTCATCCAGGTAGTCAACGACCATCCACTGAACTCAGTCCTCACTCAGTCGGTGCACTCTAGTCAGCTTCTCAAATGGGCGGTGGAATTAAGCAAGTTCGACATTACATACGTCCCTCAGAGGACAATCAAAGTGGAAGTGGTAACAAACTTCCTGACCGATCGTGCGAGCCATGCAAAGTAACCAGCACCGACCAACTAACACCGACTTTGCACATTGATGGAGCCTCTAATCAGACGGGATCAGGAATTGGGCTAACTCTAAGAAGTCCGACTACGGAAAACCTATACCACGCAGTGGACATTAGGTTAAAAGTCACTAACAATCGGGAAAAGTACAGAGCACTGATCGTCGGACTCCGCCTTGCTTACAAAACGGGCACCCGACACCTGCACATGAAATCAGAGTCCCAGCTGATGGTGAACCTAGTGAAGGGAGAGTTTAAAGCTAGAGATGAAATGATAACCAAGTATCTTAACAAGGCCAAGACCGAAATCTGGAAGGTCGCTGACTTCAGGATTGAACATATCGTCAAGGAAGACAATCAGGTAACCGACCTACTATTTAAGTGCACCCGCTAGGGGAGTGAACGCCTCAAATGCTATTCTGATTAACTATTGAAGAACCTAAGGTGATGGAGATAGAGATGGAGATGGAGAAAACAATAAGTTCGATGGATCTTTTTATCTATTTCATGGAGACTGTGAAGTGACTGAGGAGGTCACTGACTCAAAGGAGATTTAAGTGTCAGGCGGCCCAATACCTTCTGATCCAGAGGAAACTTTTTTATAAAATCAACCACTTCACTTTAAGGTGTGTTGGAGAGAATGAAACGGAAGATCTCTTGTGGGAGATAAATTCAGAAATATGCAAGTTACTCCAGAGGAAAAGCCCTGACGCATAGGATTCGACGATAAGGCAACTTCCGGACGGCTCTCCTAAAAGATGCAAAATTCTCAAGGAGGTGCGAGAAATGCCAGAAGTATGCACCACTATAACACCAACCGATCTACAGGCTGCAGCCAATTGTCTCTCCATCTTAGGGCTTGACATCCTTGGACTGTTTCCATGATCAAACTGCCAACTTAAGTTCCTTCTGGTCGCAGTGGATTACTTCTCAAAGTGGATCGAGGCGAAGCCACTTGCCCACATAACAATGGAGGTCATTCGTAATTGCATCTAGACGGCCCTCATCTTTCGTATGGACTACCGCTCTCCTTATCACAGATAATGGGATCCAATTCACAGATAAGGGGATTAAAAACTCATGGTCAAGCGAAAGCTGCCAATAAGGTCATTCTCAACCTATTGAGAAAGAAGGTCTAGAGGAAGAAATCTGAGCACACTCTGCCCTGCAATAGGAAGACAAAAGGAGAACCACACGATACTACAACTGACACATTCGTGATGAGATCTTTTTCCCAAGAGATCTAGTACTAAAGAAAATCAACCCAAAAACAAGGGGACAAGCTGCAA